CGATGACATCATCGCCACCCCCAGTGACGTCACAGCACCCCACACATTGGGGGGGAGGGTTTTGGGGGGGGTTTATTAAAAGCCGGGGGGGCCCCGAGGGAAATTTGGCAAAACCCGCGCCCCTCCCCCCCCAATAAATACACGGCCTCGAGGGGGGGCGGGGCTTGGCTACGGCAGCCAATCAGCACCGGCCACGCCCGGCCACACCCCCCCGGCCACGCCCCTGCCGTGGGTCAGGCCCAACTTGGGGGTCACTCCAGGCCCCACTTAGGGGTCAGTCTGGACCCCACTTAGGGGTCACTCCAGGCCCAACTTGGGGGTCACTCCAGGCCCAACTTGGGGGTCAGACTGGACCCACTTGTGGGTCAGTCCCTGCCCCATTTGGGGTCACTCCAGGCTCAACTTGGGGGTCACTTGTGGCCTCATTTGGGGTCACTCTGGGCCCCACTTAGGGGTCAAACCGTGTCCAACTTGGGGGTCACTCCAGACCCCACTCATGAACAATCCTGGACCCACTTGGACCGTGCTGGACTTGGGGGTCAGTCCAGGCCCCGTTTGGGTCACTCTGGGCCCCACTTAGGGGTCAGTCCAGGCCCAACTCGGGGGTCAGCCCCACATCCTGCCATGGGTCAGCTTCTGCCCCACTCAGGGCTCACTTTGTCCCCACTTTGGGGTCAGTTTGTCCCCACTTAGGGGTCAGTCCGTGCCCCACTTTGGGGGTCAGTCCGTGCCCCACGTCAGGGTCACTTTGTCCCCACTTAGGGGTCAGTCCGTGCCCCACTCGTGGCCCAGTCTGTCCCCACTTTGGGGTCACTTTGTCTCCACTTGGGGGTCAGTCCCTGCCCCACTGCCGGCTCCTCCGTGGGGCTGCAGGGTCAGGGGTCACTGCGGGGTCCCCCCGTGGGGCACCGTGGGGTTCTGGGGGTCACTCTGGGTGGCCGTGGGGCTCAGGGGGTCACTCTTGGTCACTGCCGGACGCTGGGGGTCGCTCCAGAGATCCCAGACGCTCTGGGGGTCACGGTGGTCACTCCGGGGGTCCTGGGGGTCACTCCGGGGGTCACTCTGGTGGCCACTCCGGCCATTTCTGTGGTCACTCTGGTGGTCACTCCGGGGGTCACTCCGGGTCTCTCTGTGGTCACTCTGGTGGCCACTGGGGGTCTCTCGGTGGCCACCGGGGGTCTCTCGGTGGCCACCGGGGGTCTCTCGGTGGCCACTCTGCAGCTCGGCCGAGAGCCCCTCGAAGGCGTCCAGCATGGCCGCCCGCACGCGCTCCGTCAGCGCGGGGACATCGGCCGGGCCCAGCCCCAGCGTGGGCAGCGGCGGCAGCACCTGGATCACACACTGCCCTGGGGGGGCGTGTGGGTCAGGGGCTGCCCCATAGAGACACCCCAGACCCATAGAGA